TCCTTCCTCTCTCCCTTTCTCTCTTCCCCTCTCTCTTCCTTTCTCCCTTCCTCTCTCTCTTCCTTTCTCCCTTTCTCCCTTTCTCCTTTTCTCCCTTCCTCTCTCCCTTCCTTCTCTCCCCTTCTTTCTTTCTTCCTTCCTTCCTTTATTTCTCACCAGAATGCCCACACAAATGTCAAGTTGTTGGCCAGGAGAATTTCTCTTTGTGAACTTTCTAAAAATCTGTTATCAAATCTGGGAGGCAGGCTGGCCAGGTGAGAGAAAAATAACTTTCCTTTTTGAAGCAGGTAGCATTACTTATAGGGATGTTGGGAATAATTATTTAGTGTTTATAGGGCTGTGGCTCTTAATTAAATACTTTACCTTCCTCTCATTATTCCCTGTTGAGTAAAAGGCTCCTGGGGAAGATGTTAATGAATTACTTAGTAATGCACCATACCTTCACAGTTGGGTAATGATTGCTCTTCCCAGAAACTAGAGCTAAACCACAGCTCTGGAACTTGCCATTAAGAGGGTAGGGACCTTCCAGTGACCACTGCCCTTAACCATTTCCTCCTTTGACACTTTTTTGGTTTTAGTGGAATCCTGCCAGCAGAAGCTGAGCTTATGTACATCAATGAAGTGGAGCGTTTGGATGGATTTGGACAAGAGATTTTCCCTGTGAAGGTAATATGCTGTGCTCTGTCCTTGCTCTAGCCCTTTTGGAATGGCACAGGCATTTGGCAAACCATTGTTAGTGGCAGTGGGCCAGAATGGCTTGGCCTTCTTATTGCTATGTGGCATTAGTTGGCAAGTCCAATTTACTTTAGGTAAAGCAAACGCTTTTCCTTAACCAGGAGATTTTTGAAGTTTTCCATGGTCTTCAGCAGAATATCTCATGTATAAGACAGCCATCTACATGAATACCAAGCGCCAGCCTATCCAGCGCTTTGAAGGTATCAGGGCTCACATCCAGTCTCACAACAGGACAAACAGCTAATGTCATGTGTACATTAATCAAGACTCTAGCCAGCAGTTTTCTTCCCCATGCTAAATCTCTTTACTTTGAGTGGATATAGAGATCATTGTGAGGTAGAATGAAACATTTCCTGTATGCAATCATGTTTTATTTCTCCAGATCTGTAGAGCCTTCTATTGTAGGTTTCCAGCCCCTCTGGTGTTTTGTGGAAACTGTGCCTAGGAAACTGTACAGCACATCTTGTCCTTTGCAACAAATTTACCTCCTGAAGTGGGTGTGGCTGGGGGGGGTCATGGTGCATGGTCATTTATAGAGCTGAGCCCATAATCCGTACTCATTTTCCTTTCTCTGTTGACCAACTTTACAAAAGTGGAGAGTTTTATCAGAAACCTAAAGCAACTGGCATGTTTTAGCAGTTTGGGAGATGCCTTGCAATTTTAGCAGAAGCATCTCACTCCAGACGAACTCCAACTGGCTATTTTATAAGTGTTCTGCTCCCCTCTGTTGCACGTCTGCAGTTTGCCTTAATGGGAACTGCCCGTGTGCATCAAGTAGAATCGAGCAGGGTGGCCACAGCTTGCAAAAAGGACTAAATGGCTCTTTTTTAGATTTGTTTAATTTTCTTTAGCTTCTCTAATGGCTGCCCTTCATAGGGTTGTAATCCATTTTCCTTGCAATAATGCCTTATGAAGCCATCTGCATTCCACTTACATTTCAGCAGCCCATATATAGTCTTGATATTTTGGGTCATTGAAAAATCAAAGTAAACTTTTCTCCATTTCTGGAAAATTGACTTCTCAATCCCGAAAAGCTGGGGATTTTGTTGTTGGTCATTTGCTTGTGTTATTTTTGTGGGAAATAGGGGCAGTTGAGATAGTGTTGAAATCCACAGTGCCTGGTTTAATGCACTTTCTAGTATGTACTTTCGTGGGACCAAGCGGTATGTTATACCTCCTCTGAGTGGGAAGACAGGCACTGCTGACTTATTGCTGGGCGGATGTAACTTAGCCACGCTGCTGCTGCTTCCTGTCTTCCCCCCACATATCTGATCATGACTGAGCTGACCACCTTCAGACCACATGATGCCTGACAGCCCGAAGATGATGGGTGGGAGCAGCAGTACCAGCGGGGGTTGATGTGGTCAGCTCTGAGAGAAGTGGAAAAGCAGACTGGAAAGTATGCAGGGAGGGGCAGTGAGTGGTGCTGAGTCCCTTTGGGTTAGTACAGGTCCTCGTGACCAGACCAAGTGAAAAGCGTGGCATGGCATGTCCTGGGGAGGAACGTGTCCACTCAGTGTGGGGCTTTTCACCCGTGGTGCCTCAAACATTTTCAAGGCTGGAAGAGTTCTAATCTACTTCCTAACAGGGCTGCCCCTCCTCCTCCACAAACACAGGTGTGGCCGCTGCCTGAGTCGCTCCTGTGTTGTCAGAGCCCATGGATTTGGGGAAGGTGCTTCTGGGATGGGAAAGGCAGGGCCTGGAGCCTCAATCCATTACTAAGTTGGACTTAAAGCCCCTGAGTTTTGGCCAGTGCAGTGCCCCCAGCCTCCAGGGTATAGTGGCTACCTGGAGCATCCCTTCTAAGTTTTTTCTTTGGCCTGACCCTTGTGTGCTGTCTTCCTGTATTCGCATCACCACCAGACTTCAGCACAGATCTACTGGCAAGTGCCCAGGGATGTCTGTGCGCAGACTTGTCCCTTCCTTCCATCTCCACTCGCTCTCTTCTCTTCCCTCACGTGGTTTTCTGCAGTCTGTCTGGCTTACCTTTTCATGTTCTCATAATCACCAATATAGCTCTCTCTCTTCCTCCCCAGTTCTCTGTCTCAGCACTCTTTCTTTTCTTTTTTTTTTTTTTTTTTTTT